GAATTCTTCTTGAAAGAATTATTAGGAAGCAAAGAAAAGAAATGAGCTCTAGATTTTAAGTCACACATTAATAATCTTTAGTGATTATCATTTAAAAATAGTCATTTTACTTCACACTTTGCACAAAAAAAACAATTCATATTAACTATTTAACCTACAAAAAATAATCTTTATTATATTTCCCCTATTATTTATTTACCTAGGAAGGCCAGTTGTTCAATTTTCTTTTACATGTCTGTCTTGCCATCTATTGTTATCAATGTTTGAAATTTATTACCCATTAAAAATACTGCTTACAGTTAATGAGTTTTTCAACACTATTTTCTTTTAATCCACATCAGTTGTGAAAAAATAAATTAATCCAGTGGATAAATATATAATATTTTTAATTTCTTGTCTTTGTTGAAGATGAAGCTTTCTTGGTACTCATAATTTTGACAATCTGGTTCGACTCATTCACAGCATCTTGTTTATGTAACACATTTTTCACACCTTTTGAATTTACCCCTTCTGCCCTCACATACTCTCCAGCAAGAAGAGAAACTGGTGGATAAAGCATGATGTCAAAGAGTTTTCCTATTGTTGTGCCTGGTTTTAAAACAATACAGTCCCTGAGAATTTGGGGTTTGTCATTTGTAATGACACTGATTGATTGACAGGTGTCAAGGCAACTGACAGGAAATGCATAGACTGGTGATCGCAGTTTCACGGCTTGTGACAAGGCTTGCAGCACACCAGTGTTTCCAAAGACTTGAAGAATGCTGTCTTTTATGTCCCTTAATTCTTTCTCAGACTTGTCATTTGTATCTTGTTGCTGAACATTGAAATCAAAATGAGAGGCTCCACTTTGGTATGATATAAGACCGTCCTTACACTTCTGCTGAAGAATACACTCACTCTTTGCACTAACTGGCACCATTATCATGTCACTGAACTGTTCTTGAAATTTCGCCAGATTATTGACAGCACCAGAAATATCAACTTTGTTGAGAGCTAAAAGAATAGGAAA